GCCATCCAATCTGTCCCACTGAGGTATATTGTAACTGTCTTCCAATAAATTGAACAGAAGTCGGTTTCGAGCGAAACCCCGCTATCGTATCGTTGCGCTTCAAGGACGGCGATTTTTCAGACCTAATCAAACGATAGTTATGTACGTCATGGAACAAAGCTCATATTTAGCTGTCTTATGAAAATCCGGCCACGGTAGGATGTAGGACCCCAGTTAGCTTCCGGTATACTGTGAGTCGTAGTAATGGGGGATTTGCGGGTGCAAGCGTATGCCGGACAGCAAGCTAACGGAATGCAGGAAAACACAGAAGACCGCAGGTAACAAAAAACTTTCTTTCGAGAAAAATAACGAAAGTGCTCAGACATGGTATCCAGTCGGATATTCCATGACATTTCATCTCGAAATAGTGCTTGACCATCGACCATCTGAGCCTATCTCCTGGCAGTTATTTCCGTTGTCCCTCAATTCATGGTAAGTTGATCTACGGTTGTTGATTCTCCGCCTTTGAATGCAGCTATTAACTGTCAGTACTTTACTAGATTTCATAATTTCATATATCAGCGCACGATCCACAGTCTACCGACAGCTAAATGAGGTCCTTCACCCTACTATTGCCTGTCTTTTTCTGTCAGTAATCCCATCAAATAATTTATGGAACTCAGCACCGATTGAAATTAGCGTCCTCTGAGAATGTTTACCCGTAGCACCTTTAAAGAACGTACGTAGCAACAATAAATGCCTCTGGTTACCAGAAAACCCTCTTTAACTTGAAAGCGTCAATGATTGCCCGGCAACGCTTCTATTTCGCTGCGCTTTAGCATTCTATCATTCTTTTCCAGCCTTAGATTCTACATACTTTAGCAAGTGACAGTTCGACCGTCGATTTTGACGATGTCCACCGTTTTTATTACAGCAGAGTGGGATTTGACAGCGATTAACATGTGAGTCAACTCATAGTTTATATCACGGGTACGCTGGTATACAGTGATAATACATCTAACAAAATAAATACTCATGACACCGTCGTCAAACTCAAAGGGGACTTCCAAACCTGGAGAGTACAAATGACTTTCAAGTGGCATAAGCTTTTCTATCAGTCATTTTACAATGGTGTGACAGGGTGAATTTCTCATATCCCAGATTGGACGCAGCGAAGGGTCGTGTTTGCGGATTTCCGGAAGACCGTACATCTTGAGAATCGTCATGCTTACAGGCCTCAGTCGTTCAAACTCTTTGTCAAACAGTATGCCTTTGTGGAGGTCATTGAGAACTATCGTCAATTGACCCTTGACGGTCTCGGCCCGATCCTAGTCATTTTCACATTTCGAGAACCCACCACGATCCGGCAGGACTTCCACCAGTTTCGCCACGTTATCTGTCCCATCCACTGGTACTACTCCTGAACTCTTATCCGGCCCGCGAAACTCCCTGAGATCACACAGATGTGTCCTTTCCAAAAGACACTGGCTTCTTGGAATCTTCCTTAAATATTGTTGGCAGAAATTAAACAGAGCAGACTTGAGATAATCAATTTCTCTAGGCTCGATAGTCCTCCATGAGAGTTGCATCAAGACTCACTGAAGAATAGTTGTGGACGTACCGTTCGGGATTATGCGGAAGGCGGTCTGAGCTTTCACTGGTTGGACACTTCGTAGGAGCTTAGTCCACCTGACCCCGATTCCTTTTCCTCGTTTTAAAAGAACACTTTTGAGGTCATACACGAAAACCTTACTGATAGCATATCACGCCAGAATACAATCCTAAGGTTGCTTAACAAGCATCGCGCCCGGGGCAAAACTAATCATTGCCGATACAAGCAAAAATGCGAGTTCCAGGAACTAATTGATCAGAAGAAGAAGGGATCACTGGAACAATGGCTTTATTCGCCTGACGTTTCGGATTCTCTCTTGAATCCATCATCAGAGACAGTTGCAGAAAAGGGTGGCTATAAATACTGCGACTTCCTGTACACTAGCCACCCTTTTCTGCAACTGTCTCTGATTATGGATTCAAGAGAGAATCCGAAACGTCAGGCGAATAAAGCCATTGTTCCAGTGATCGCTTCTTCTTCTTCTTCTGATCAAAACTAATCATGCTCCATCATTCCCGACCATGTGCGCCACAGCAAGGTGGAAGCAGGCACAGTGACTTGCGCAGCACTTAGCTACACTCCCTCCTCCTCTTCCACCAGGACCCGCTGTCATGACAAATACAGAAAAGTCAATTTGGCAAACACCTGTTTTCGGTAACTCTTCATCAGACCAAAACGGATACATAGAAGTTTAGGTTATGCGAAGTTACCGGGCTTATAAGTGATTCAGGGACTATTAAGATCCATCGTTTCCACGCCACTCGCATGACGAGGCGTGCTACGGCGTGTCGTGGTCATTGGGTCAAGGCGGCGAGGGAGAGGGGGGAAAGCGGCTATGAGTACGTCGGGTACGTTGTGCACACACCACCGACATCAGGAGGTTGGGGCGACGTTGGCCACGGAAGATAGAGTGCCTGTGTCAGCGTCTTCTGACGACATAGCACTGGATTGGCTAACCGTATAGCCACTGCCTCGGCTGTAGCTAGCACCAGTTGGCGTTGGCCTCTGGAGAAGCTTGCTGGTGTCCGGTAGACAATCTGAAAGGCTTCTTTGGCATCGAATCGATGATTCGTATCGACATGATGTGCGAGAATAGAACTTGAGATCGATTTCTTTTCACCACTACCTGGCCAGGCCGGTGTGTGTTCACGTACTCCCTTTTACAGGCGTCTCGTTGTACGTCCAAAGTATCCCGCTCCACAGGAGAAAGTGAATGCGTAAATACACATCGATGCGGCCTGCAACGGGAGTCGGTCTTTACCCACCCCCCCCCCCCCAAGCGTAGGAGGGGACAGTTAGTGAAACATACACGCAAGTTCGCCGCGAGGAAAGCGCTAGTGATCGCTGTCTTCAGACGTCTTCTTACTGGGTCACTTGCTGTGTCCCCTTAAAAAAGGCAGTCTTATAAATAAGTCCTTCTTTTCTGTAGTTGCCATGATGGGCTTTGCAGTGCGCTCCCCTACATTTCGGAGGATAAATCTTTCTGGGTATCCGTTTTCGTGGAGTATATTTCGCGGCTGCTGGAGTTCTGCGTCAACAGTCTCAGGAAAGTAGATGCGTCGCACTCTAGCTGCCAAACCCTAGACCGAATTACGTTTGATTTTTAGGGGGGATAAAACTGTGAAAATTAATGTATTGTCCAGTCCAGGTTTTCTTTCGGAATACCCTACGTTGGATAGACACATCCTCTTGTCTATACAGAAAAGCCAGAGAAAAGAGAGGGCACAAATGACTGACTGGCAGGCCACCACACCCCCTGGTCTGCCACCCACAATCGACCAGGATTTCACGCAACAACAAAAGGAAGAAGGGATATCGGATCCCAGCTGAGTGGGAGGATCACAAAGGTCACATAAAGAAAGGGTAATTGCAGCCTGACTCTCCGTTCTAAGAGGAGGGCCGAACTGTCCCGTCAGTTGTCAGTCTTTTAGGCCATGACCTTAAGCGGACCGCGATGGTCCAAAAGTGAATCAGAGGGTTTATAGTGAACAATGCGTGGGGGCGAGGACCCCAGAATCTGCCTCACCCTCTCTTCCCTCTCCCATGCCTCAATCCACTGTCTGAGCTGGTCAGCCATATGATACGGGGATTAGGCGCAGATGTCTGGCCCGGCGTGACACCACTCCCGCGTATGTGACAATTTTCATGACCTGCGCGGACGCTACGAAGCCTGGTCTACGCATGCCATGCCGTGTAGCGCAACCGTTGCCTGACCCCTTTGCGCCAGCAGGTACTTGCGACGGTAGAGCTGGTGGCAACTCAGGTGGCCAAGCCAAACATTCGTTCAGGCCCTCCAGCTGCCATGGCCCACGACCGTTCGGCGCACGATGGGTCGCAACCTCACAAAATCAACAAGGGGGAGAACGGTTAGCATCCCAACCGAGTGGGAGTGCCATAAAGACCACACCAAGGAGTGATTGCAGCCTAACCCTCTGTCAGCCGAGGACTAAGTTATCCCGTCAGGTAGCAGTCTTTCAAGCCACGGCTTTGGCACGCTGTGATGACTTCGAGTTCCTCAGATTAGTTATAGTGAGTAAAATGCGCTGGGGACGCCAACCTCATCACCCCCACCCCCGCACAATAGTCCACCGTACGAGCCGGTCATGTCTTAAGCCGGAAGTGGGTGCAGTGGCTGAGGGAGATAGAGAGCCTGTTTGCGCGCGCCACATACAGCAACCAGTGGCGGTAACGAGGCACATGCCCGAAGAATCGGAACAGATCGATAAGTGCTACGTCTACGAGGAAGTTACACACTCCAAACCGCAGCAGACAGGGCACGAGACTATGGCCGAGGCGGTGGGGCGTTAGTTCAGCGGTTAGCGAGCTCGGTGTTTTAACGATCCACGATGACTGCAGGCAAGTCGGAAATCACCGCTCTCTGTTGATAATGTTTACACGCAAGGTCGAAATTGGAATTGCCAGCGCCACGACTACGATTGGAGCAGAAATTGAGTGTGCAGATGAAAGTCCGGACGGATAAACTAGGGTGAAGATACTAAACAAAAGGGAGACGGTACTGGTGGAACGATCCACCGACGCGCGTGCACGAACACCAGCGAGCGTAGGAAGCCAAGTTTGAGTGAAAATGCCATAATGCGACGTCAGTGCAGCGCGGCGTCGATCGGGACGGATGACGGGTGACAAAAAGTAAACCAAGAGAAAGACCATGTAAAAAACTGTCTCTCTGTCCATTGAAACGCAAGCAATAGGGATGTAGAGGGGACGCAGTTGTGCAATACGACCATTCATACCAATTTTGTCCAGAAAACAGTTCTGTACAGAAAATAGGGTGGCAGAGGCATCCGGCCCAAGTGTCTTCAAGAGCAAAATAACATTTTAAAGTGATAAAAATGGGACACCTGCGCCGGCGACAGGATACAAAAGGCTGCACAACAGCAGTAGTGACCAATCAGCGCTTCTGTTGCTTGTGCCAATGGGCCGCGAATCCGGCAAACTGGCCGCTGCTGAGCATCTGGTGCAGGCGTTCCACCTCGTCCATTGTTTTGGCACGTTTTATGGCGTCCTGGATGGCCAACAGGTCTTGATTGCTGCCTCCACCTGAAGGAGGAAAAATTCGAGAACATAAATAAGAAGGATTGCTATGTGCCGAGCGCAACATGTGGTAGATGAATCAAAACAGTTGAGGTATGAATGTTCCGCAAACTTCACAGAAAGAGCCGACTTTTCGGTAATGTGTGTCAGTTGAGTCTTCAATTAGAGTATGGCTGGCAACACCGGCGCATGTGCAAACATATGGTAGAAAGAAACGATATATATATATATATATTTGAGCACAATTGCTCAAATTGCTCTTGCGTGTATGTTGGTCATACAGGTCGAAGCCTGGGCACCCGCATTAATGAACACAAACTGGCTGTCCGTTGGCGAGACCCTCTGTCCCTCGTCTTTGCTCACGCACTCGAGTGCGACCACCGATTCAATTGGGATGGCACTGAGGTCGTCGCCATGGCTAACACAAAACGGGCGAGAGAATTTCTCGAGGCTTGGTACTCCGATGCTGGTAGTATCAACCGCCATGTTGACTTGGACGCCCATTATGAGGACCTACGCTCACGACTTACTGCCCCCCGCCCTAATGCCACAGCAACGGCCGCCAATTTAGCCACCCGGAGTCCAATTGATCCATCATTACACCCTCCCCCTCCAGCACAGGCATCCATAATTGTTCCACCTCCCCCCTGGCTCAGAGACCTACCATGACTTTGTGATCATCCCTCTCATAGGCCGATTGTCTGTCTGCCCTGTCGCGCTAACTAGTCCTGTGTGACAAACTAACTTTCTCCCCTGTTTTAATTTCGTCTGACGACGGGTTGGTGTAACCAGCTCGAAAATTCACGAGTACAACTCGACTTTTCCGAAGAACCTCTTCCTGTTTTCATATATATATGTATATATGTATATATATATATATATATATATATATATATATATATATATCGCTACCAACTGCGATCTAGCCGTTACCAAACTGGAATATGAGAAGATAAAGACCGTCTACCGTAAAGTAACTAACATTAGGCGTACTCTCCACTTCAGAAGCAATCAGCCCGTGAGTTACAAAAGCATTTGTGTCAGAACCCTCCTGAAACACGCTTCCACGCACTATGCTGACAACGATGGCAGGGAGGTGAAACACATGTTCTTTCGGAGCTAACGGTTATCCAAAATCCTTCATACGCAAGTGTCTCAGGAAGCCGAACTATCAGAGATCAGGCGAGTAAAACCGAACTTCTGGTTCCCGATACCCTATGTGGAGGCGACAGGAAGAATCCCGAAGCCTTATGGGCTTGGTGTGGCTAATAAACCGGAATCAAAAGTCCGACAGCCAGCCATGATGCCTAAGGGCCCGCAACCAATGATAAACAATCAGCAGTGGTCTAGAACATGCCAAGAGACGTATTCTGGGAAAAAACTCCGAATTTTTCACCAACAAAGTAACTACTCAGACGTTGGCTGAAAATGTTATAGCCTGCGTAATTATAACAAAAAACCAGTTCAGACTATGTTATTAAGTATCGCAAGTTGTTCTAGGGTATGCCCGAAAATAAGGCGTCGAAGCTCATGAGATATCAAATTAAATGTTTAACTGTAGCGTCATGTAGAAACAGCTACTGAAGTTACCTCATGTAAGCTCGGTGCCGTTTGCACACAAAACTGCTAGACTCAACTACGGCCCAGCCTGGAAGACGGGTTCCCCATTAGTCTAACTGATCACTAACTGGCGCGCCGCAGGTGACGTAGATTTAAGCGTCGATCAGATTTGGCGGCCCCGTCTACGCGCGACAGTAAATTGTACTTGATGCAGGCACATATATATTGCCTGGAAAGACGGGTTCATTAGAAGACCCAGTTATTGGCTACCTAGCGCGTCGATAGAGAACGGAGTGCAACGACCTTTATTGACGATTGGCTATGAAACAAAATAAGTAGGATGCCCTATCTGGTGATAAGCTGGTTGGCAACGACAGTGCTACCAGGACGTGACTCATTGAGATCTGGCATGCCGACTAACATAAAAAAGCCGCAAAATCCGATGACGGCAGCGTGATATAGCGATTGTAAACCATCACTAACTAACTTTGCTTGCCACCATCGTTTTGATTCAGAACGACAGACGGTCTCGAAGAAGCAAGTTGGGCGACTGTTAGGGGCTCGCCCGTACTCAAGATTCCAAAGAAACCGCAAATTTCATGGCAAAAGTATCAAACCGGTCACCGACACATGCAAGTGTCAGCATACAAGAAAGACGAGACAACAAGCAATAACTGGCTCATTACCATCCCCATGCAGTCGATTCCCTAGGCTTCCAACATAGCTCTGGGGTTTGTCAACCTCAGCCCTTCCTCCCTCTAGAGATTGGCCGACTAAGCCCTAAACTCAGTAAGGTTTGCGTAATCACGTAGCAAAATGTTGTGTTGATGGTGGGGATTTTTCAGCAGTACACATGGCTGGATGGTCTAGCATCGGGATTTGGAGATGAAGAGAAAGAAGCATTTCTCACTCAGCATAACACGTTTCACGCCTGCATGCAGTGTAGCCTGATGGAAATTCCTCTGCTGATTGGTATTCGCCTGCGTCTTCTGATTGGTTCCCGCCGTCCCTTCGTCGCCAGCCTTGCCATCGTTATCACCACCAGCTGCAGCGCCGTCGGTGGCGCCATTAGTGGCTTTTTCTAATTGGCCTACCGGCGCTCCAGGAACAAAGGTCTTCACGTTGGTGGTGCCTCTTGCTGCTGTGCTGGCGTTGTTGGTGCCGGCGTTAACTGTGGAGGACGCCGGTAGGGGAGCGAGGTGTTTCATAAATGACGCAGCCTGTTTCCTCTCCGCTAGGGTTACCCGTCGGAAGTCGAGGAAACGAATCTGTTTTTCGAAAAAATAAACACTACTGAAATCCGGAGGGCAGAGATTAAAGATGGTTTTAAAAAAGTTAAGGAGACAGCATGAGGACGCAGTTGTGTGGCGAAGGCGGGTGGACGCTTGTGACCACTGGCCCCATACCCAATATTTCTTAGAAGTACATCCGACTTTATCCAGCCTGGGCGGTTGGCGCATTTAACAAATATCATCGCCCCTCAAACATGTCTCCGTCCTTATTGGACATAGCGTTTAGCTGTACTTTTACTGTTTACCAGGAGGCTAAAAAACTAAGATTCTGTAGGCTAGCGCAAATTCCTTCACAAGGCCGAGAACGACTATGTTTGCATAGAAAAAAAGAGAACGCGGAACGCTAAAAAGGGCCTTTGAAACGCAATATTATGGAGATAGGAAGACGTAAGCGTGCTGAGAGATAACCCCGACAAAATGGGAGAACTGTTATAAACCCAAGAGTTTGCGGGAAGGGGCTACGAACTAATTCTAAAGAAATGATGGTAATAGGAAATGCCATTCATGCGACCACGAGTCACAGAAATGCAAGACGTGGAAGTTAGGAGTAGGGGGCATAAAGACATAATACGAGGCTGTTGTTGGACTAAGCACAATAACACGAGCAGAGGAATGTCAGTGGGTAGAGCTGAGTTATCTGCTACTGCAACCTAGATCTCCTGTTAATTTGATGCAGCAGTCTTTGTTTTTCCAATTTGCGTCGTCGCAAAACCGAGTCTGTTGCACTTCAGTTTGGATTCGGAGTTAGCGAATTCAACTCGACGTGGAAGACGCCCCTCTGGCAGACTTAGCGTGTGAATTAGCCATGGACTATCGCGTAAAATTAACAGTTTTCAGACCAACAACGTGGTATGAAAAGAAGGGTGACGAGGATCTTTTAGGCTGCCGAAGCAGTCGTACTAGTTAACATGCTGGTGATCAAAGAGGGGGTAAAAAATGATTTTTGTTCAGTGAAATTGCGCCAACGGGAAGCAGGCACTGTAGTCTCCCCTTACCAACTCCGTACCGCTAGGTGGATTCATAGATTTAATGAAATAAATAGTCAGAATTTGCCAGGATTCTCATGAAATCATCCAACCTTTTAAATACTTATGGGGGCAAGACTCGGTGCTGCAGGCATGTCTAGTTCCATCCTCCCCTCGTCAAATCTTGCTTACGATATTGTCCTCGGCAGCGTTTTGTACTACATGGATAGGGTATCTAAACCCCAGGATCAATAAGTCAAGCCTCCTAACGAGCGGTACCTGAGCTGTAAGAGTGGTGTTACTAATCGCAAGCTAATATCCGCTCAAGTTTAAAAAGCCTAAAAATCAGATCCTGCTAGCAGCTCCTTCGGAAGTATTTTGATGCGGCACTAGTGCTTCCAAGTCTTGATGTCAACACTTAGAATCAGTAGTAGATATGTGGGGATCAAAAGGATTTGCGGCACTTTCAAACGCGGCTAGTCACCGTTTGGGATGAGGATGACTTACAGGAATTAAGTGGTAAATAGTGCCCAGCACCGAATAAAACCACACCTGGAACCGTCAATTTTTGTATTAGTTTCGAGGCTCAGACGCTGGTCGGAACTGTAAACCCTGTCTGTGCAGAAAATTCCTCGGCTCTCCATGACTGCAATGTAGACAACCTATTGTCCCTTTTTAGGGTTGGTCATTAATTATACAGATAACCCTGAGGTCACACAAGTGTTTATAGTCTGCGATCAAAGTACACTTTAAATGACATAGATGATTTTAGGGGTCAGCAAAACTGGCGATAATTGTGGCTGAAGCATTAGTAAAGATAGGAAACGGTGAACAAAACCATCGAAGGCGTTACGACTGTCATCAAAGGATGACCGACTTGATTCGGCCAGATTAACGAAAGGCAAAAAAATGACAACGCTCGAAGCATTACAGAAACGAGGAACTTACAATAAACTTGAGATAGAAAGCGTACCTGCGGAATACGACCGATCACGTAAATGCGGTAGTTGAGTTTCATTGTTACTGGACACCGAATCAGTGAAAGGAAGTTAAGTTTTGTCAGCGAGGCAAGGGGATCCAAATCCTTCAGTTCAGCGATATTATTGTCTGTTAGAATTAAAGTCTCCAGATTTGGTATTGACGAGACAAGATCATCCCCGATACGCACGATCTGTGAAACAAAGTTGCAGTTAACATCAAGCATGTGGAACATTTCGAGCTAGTGTAAAAATAATGATAAAGGACAAGAGAGACTTTGAGGGATGAGGGCGTCTTGATTGCAAACTAACAAGGACTATCAAAGGACTTCAGGCACAAAAGGGGGACAGGATCATAAGTTTTACTTTTGTTGAACTATTAACCAATTTTCCCATAATAGAGTATGATGACACAAACAGGAAACCTTTAAAAACGGGATAGACGACAGTTTATTAGTAGTTGGCAGGAACTTCATGGGTCGCAAGGCCCTTATCTATCGTTCTTGACGTGGAACATATTCATAAATGAAAATGAGTAGTTCATGAAAATGACAAGGAAGCGAAGAACTGTGTCCCCATTCTCATCCTCCCTCTGATTTCAACGCCAAAACAGACTCGCGACTTAAAACAGTGTTGGAGGGAGAGTGAGGGAGGCTATAATGCCCCAGTCAACATGTGCCACAATAAGTCGTGGGCTATGATTCGTGCAGGGCGAGACACGCACCCGATTATTACGAATGGTCCCAGCGTTTAGAAATGCAGAAATCATAGGACCATTTTAGGACGGGCGTGGGCCTCGTAATCAGGTGAATGCACTGAAAGGCCACAATTGTTCTGGCGTGAGCACGTATTAGTGGCAGCGACTCGAAGTCGTTTGGCCTCCCAACGAATAGTTCAGAAGGAAATGACAGTTTTCGTGTCACAACCAAGAAAGGAAGAGATTGCAAATGCAACGCAGTCATTCTTAGCAAGTAGTCGTAAGGGTGTTTAGAATACTCCAGTGTCGGCAAAGTTACGAAACAGTAACATGAACGGTTGCCCGTTCAATAGGTGGTCATGCGTAAATCCAGTTCACTTGTTAAACAGCACTAGTGCTTGTGAACGAGTCAGAAAAACAAGCATATTTAGAGGTTGTTAGAGCGTCCGCATAAGCTGTGAACAGGTCAAAAGCGTGCATCTGACGTTATATGTTTTAATGAGAAGTGGGTGATGCAAATGATTTTTACTAGCATGATTATCTTAACTCATAAAAAACCGTAGAAAACAAAATATTTGATCGTATAGTGATACCCGACTTTGTCTTAATTACAAGCAAAGGGATCTGATTGCTCGAACTGGACACTATAGTTAAGGCATGATATTGTCAACGCCCGTGATGCAAACTGTCCGAAATGGCTAGGTGCTGACTAGTTGTCAAGTCCCTAAACATTTATTTTACTCCCGTATTTAAACCAAAATACATAAGTGAAATAAGAGCACCTCAAGGCGACGTGACAGTCAACACCTGTGCTACTATCCGGCGCGCCTACAGCATACAGACACTAATGATAGAAAGGCAGTAAATTACGGAGACAAATTTGCAGTGAGTGGAAAACACTGAACTCTAAGACGAACCACAGAAGCTAGCGCGAAACCGTAAATGAGATATACTGCAGGTCGTTAATAACACCCAAAATCTACACCAATGAACGAGGCAGTATATCTAAATGAATATAAAGGAGTATATTGGCATGGAAGCAATACAAACCAGAAGTCATTAACGCACGCAGACTTTCAACAAGGCAGTCTCAGGATTTCGATAAAATTGCACTAACTCCTGACTATGCCTGGACTATCAGTTCACATTTGCGGGGTTTGTGTGCGATTACTAACCGGCTGACCGAGCACAGCCTTCTAAGTAACCTGGACATAATGTCACGAACGGCACTGACGTGATAAGACAGCCAGACAATTTATGACCGCAGGGACTACTGCGAGGAGTCATTTAATCCCTAAAATAGCCCCAGATTAACTGTACGGGCTGGCCCCAGGCTAGTTTGCTGTCTTCAGGAACTGGCTGAAAGTCATATGCATATCGGAAGCAAAAATCCGAAAAACGTAAACGAAACAAAATTTGTGTTCAAAAAGTTTATTACCTTGTTTTCGGTAAGGATAAGGGCCTTTAACCTCAAAAGCAGTGGAAAACCATCCAACTTGCGTATTTCATTGTCAGTAAAATCCAAAGTGTCAAACTGGTCGAGGGTACTGCCCAAATTTTCAATTGCGGGGACTTTGTAGCCCCGCAAATCTAATTCACGATCTTTTAAGGGGTTTGTGTGCTGCATTGCCCCTTCGACGAGGTCCGTCGTTAACTTCACCATGATTGCTGATATCCGAATGCTTCGCGAGAAAAGCAGTGTATTAGAAGACTTACAGTACGGCAGTCAAAGCCGGACCGATGGGTATTTCAACGATTATATTTAATTAAATTCATTGCTTAACATCACAGGAAAATCGGCCGTTGTAGAGTTTTTGTGTGGGGAAATGTAGGCTGACTATGGTATCGATGGAAATTGTAGAAAAGATACAATCGAGGAAAAGGCGGGTATGAATATTGTCTTAAAACTATGAAATCCTCTCTTAATAAACCTTAGAAAATGATAAGCAAAGTAGCTTTTATAGGATAGATACAAAACACACGTGGCAGCATTTAGGGGAGAATTACGTTAGCCATGTTGAGTTTTACGGAGCAAGCGCAAAGATATCGAAATTGGTCTGTTTTAAGCAACATTGCATATGAAGTATCGAGAAATAACAAATGCATTTGACATCTTCGGCACAGATAAAGGACTGGGCGTCTTGAACAGCAGGTCATATATTGTTGACGTAGATGAAATGCAGTTCAGCAAACGACAGTACCTTTATGAAAACGATGATGTATGCAATGAACTCGCGAATGACTGGCCAAGCTTCTGCGTGAGGAGTTTATACAGTCCTCATACTGACAGCTAGAATTTGGGTCCATATTTATGTCGATAGTGATGACAAGAGAGATGATGCATTATGGGATTTTACTTTGACATTACACTCGGCCCACAAATGTCGAAGGGGGCCGATACGTATCTGAAACGTACGTTAACACGAAAAAAGGGTTTGAATGTTAACGTCATTGGTCCGTGACACTCCAGTTTTGTGGGTGTCTCTTCGCCTGGACAGCGACTATGGATTTGGCTTCGATAATGACTGCTCTGTTTTTTTATGGCAAGACGTTATGTCTGCCGATCTTGATCGTGGTCCTCCGAGGTCTTCGCATTGGTTTAAAAATACTTAGTAAAGGTGTTCAAAGTGTTCGCGTAACGACACTTTGCCCCCCTTCTCTACAACTGCTTTCAGTTACTTCGCCATATTAATGCTACTTGATGAGGCGATCGCCGTCCATACTTACGACATGACAGTTCCATCACAATTTTTTGGCCTCATCTTGTCGTCCTATAGCTTTGCCTTCGATATTCATAGAAGGTAACTAAGATGGCCCGCTCCCTTTAAATTCGGCCTCAAACATTCAGCTCTCCGAGTTTTACCGATTTGCGTAAACAGTATAGTGAAGACAATTCGTCAGGTGGAAAAAATTGCGACCTCAGAAAGCACTATGCCGAATTCGAATGTATCCGCTCGAAAGTGTGCAATTCTTGGAAACTGTGGGTTATGAATTTATATTCTGCTGTGCTCAAGGTACAATCATTCCAGAACCCTTTCGAGAACAGCTTCCTCTCAACTCACGCAGGTAAGGTGTATCTCAAATTATTACTTAACAGTGGTCTGCAATAATCCACCCACCTCCACAAGACACCCTACTTGACTGTCTTTTTAGGATCTGCATCGAAGGCTATGTATGACTGTGTCGTTTTTTTCTTATTTGATCACGGTTGCCAATTTCTTTTATCCTGATAGCAAGCGGACAATATCCAGCACAATTCTTGAGCAGATAGAGACGTCAGGGGACGCTCCGCTACGAGCCATTCAGTCATGAAAAATTGTCCTCGAAGGTTGGACCACCGGCATTTTGGGTTACCACCACTACACTATGAGAGAACGGTTCTCGGGTGATCAGAATAATTTGTCAAATATGCACATCAGCTACGGACTATTTTCAAGTCATTGGCTGTCTCTTGTGAAAAAGCATCAAGTGGGTCATTGAGCTCAAGGTGGTTAAGTATAGTGGGGCCAAGGAGACGCAACAGGAAATAAGGGTCAGTGTACTGGAACCAGGCACTGAAAACCGAATGAATAATGAAACAAACTCCGTGTCAGTCCATGGCTTTTTCGGCTGCGGGGACCTCAACAAGCGAGTTAAATCACTAGCAGAGACCCAAGGCCTACTGACTAACATTATCTTTTCCTTTCTAAAGCACAGCTAAATAAAATCTTTAAAGATCGGTCAAATCCCCAACCGACTAGCGACGGACACATTCTTAAGGAAATTACCGTTATGGAAAACTGAAAGCGAGTCAGGAAGAGAAAGCTGGTTATGTTACAGAGGGAGCTCCCGACATGTCACTTCCGCGGAACAAGGAGGAATTTGACGCTAATGTAAAAAATACAAAGCAGACTTCGTTTTCCTCAACGGTAACTAAACCGACCAAATCACAGAACACTAAAGATGGAAATACCAGTGTGAACCTCAAACGACTTGCTAGAAACTACAAAAAGGGCTTATTGTTAATTCTGAAGGGTGACGCTGTCACTCTATTTCATCACAAGGCGAACTCAGTTAGGGTGTGTGTTCCACAGTTCGCTGTGGAAGCAGCCATGCTGTTTGTGTACAGTACATTGCGGCAGGGCTACGCCTGTGAAAGTTCCTAGGCCGAAGCTAGCACGTCATGCACTAATTTGGCCTCGTAACTTCGAAGATGAAAGATGTCGATATGTCGCAGTGGCGGGACATCGTCCTGACGCGGACGGTGAAAGAGACAACTTGCGATTAAATCTTTAGCGAGACTGATGTGAATGATGGCTCAAAATCTACGCCATGAACTCCGCACGAACGGGTGACACACGACCTTGATCTTCTCCATGGATCTATCAGTGTTGACCTAATGGATGAAGAACTTTTCACCGTACTAGAAACTCTCCAACTAGGCCGTGACCTGACAGCATTGTCAAGGCCTCTGAAAATTATTTAAGAAAAAGAAACCCAAGCAGCGTCTCTGTTAGAAGGAAGAATGGCCTCACAGGGATCGCATGAAGAGATGCTTTTCAGTCAAACTAAGAACCGAGGAAAAGATTGAAAATGAAGGAACTGTGCGTAGAAATTAGGGTTAGGATGGGCAGAGGAGATGAAGGACCGAAAGCCAAAGATGTCCATAAATTCAGACCAAGGATTCATTCAAATGGACAAAACTCGTCACAACGAAGACAGTCATTAAATGTCTCTTCCGCGAATTATAAAACCTATTCAAAAAACTGGGCGGACTTAGAAACTAAGTTAATGAAACTAAACCAGACATCATGGTTCTCGCAGAAATAAGGTTGTCTGCAGATACTGAAGAGTCCGAAATATCACATAGCGGACACCGACTGTTGAGAAATGATAGACCAATCACTGCCACTTGCGAGTTAACAGCTATTGCTGATGTACACAGTCCGTATGGGAAGTGGAACTGTTAGGGATCAGTGTATCCGCTAACTGCGTCGAGTCGTTAACGCGTCCGATGGCATACCGCTATTTAACAAA